ACCAGCAAGTAAAAGCAATTTACTATGTTATTTAAAATAATATACTTTAATTTCTTCCAAATACAATTCTGTTTATTAGTAAATTTTATTTTATTTTATCCCGTTCCTCCCCTCAAGCTCCCTCCCATCTCTATGTACAAAAGCTTTCTTTCCATTTTTCCCTTCTGTTTTCACTTTTTTTCTTGTCCCTTCCTTTCTCCTTCCCTCCTCCCTTGTTCCCCTTCCCATTTGAACACTTTTTTCCCATTTCCCAACCTCCATTACATACCTCAGTCCTTTAGTCCACATTGTTTCTCACACCAGAGCCAAATACAATTTTATATCAGACAAATATTTCAAAACTTTCCTTAAGGAAAATAGGAGTAAATTCTCCATTAATTTCTTGTTTTGTTTTTACTTTTTGAGACAAGGTCTCACTATATAATTCAGACTGGCCTTGAACTCACTATGAAGCCCAGGCTGGTCTCAAACTCTCTATGATCCTCCTCCCTCAGCTTCCCAAGAGCTGAGTTTACAGGTGTGCACCACCATGCCCAGCTTCATTAACTATTAATGGAGGTTAATGATTTAAGAATACAGTAAAAATAATCATTGTATCATTCCATCAGTTTGAGAAGTATCTAGCTTATGAAATGAACTTGTTAATTTTTAAAAGATCATTTCCATAACATTAGGAATTTCATTACAAAAGACATAGTATGTAGAATATGATTTCCTACTATTTTGAAAAGCCTTCTGATGGCATGGATTTGATAAAATTTAAATATTGGTTTCACTGTATGCTGGGGTACAAATAGATGCCAGTGCCAGTGAACATACTATTGCTCAGCTTGCAGTGGTGAATAGGCCAAAGGTTAAACTATCAGTACATTTCCCAGTGTCTACTTGACAGTAGCTTTCTTTGTGTTTCTTCACCTGTTAGAGCAATACACCAAGTGTTATTGAGAGGTAAAACAAAGCAAGTCTTACATGAGACACTGATGGCTTTTTAAAAGGTTGGAGTGGAATGTCACTGGATGTTCCAAAGACTATATTGATAGTGCTGCATCTTTGTGGAAGTCACTGCTCCAGACTAGACTGCAAATCAAATCAACATTATGCATCAGTGATGCTCAAGTCAGTATAAGTAAATGTATGTCTAGTAATCAGTTTTGGAATGATTTGCAAAAAAGCAAAACACTTTTAAAATTACAGGCCATATGTTTATTTTCTTTGGCAAATTAGTATGGATAATTTTCTATATAAGTAAACCTTTCATTCGTCAGATGTGGTTTTGAACATAATGTAAAAGAGAAACCAGTTAATTTAAGTATAGAATGCCTTCAGAGGCATGAAATATAATTTAGAATTTTTCCTATAATGGCCACAGAGGATTTCTGAGCACCCATGCAGATTAGATCTTAGGCAGCTGCATAGAGCACACAGAAGTCATGATTCCTGCTCTGTGAACTAACTTGAATCAAGTCTTTCATCTAGAGATCTCACTGTTTGTCTATTTCATGAGTCCTTCATCTCATCTCTGAAGGGCTCATTCAGTTTAATACAGTTCAGCTTTGTGGTTTAGGGGTCTAGAAATTGCTGTTGTAATGCATAATGCACAAAAAGTTGAGTTAAAGTAATTTCACAGTTTTTTTTGAAAAGTAGATAAAATATACTCTGAAATATGTCTTTTTTGCAAATACTTTTTGATAATTTGGGAGTCCAGCTCAAATTTAACTAGTTATGAACTATATGACCTTAAGTAAATTTTGTTTCTGAAGTGACCTGTTTCTCTGTGGTTACAAGACCTGACAGTTAAGAGAAATTAATATATAAATTTAGAGTGTTATCATTCTGCCCTCTGTCCTAGTGTTACTCATGTCATATCCCATGTTCAATGCTAAGTATTCTTTCTGCAAACACTTTAGCAGCAATTAAATTGAAAAAGTCCCATATCATTTAGATGTGATTTGTTAAGAAAATGTCACATGATCTTTTCCTCATTTTAATACTTATGGCACATCTACCAATTCTTTGGTAGTGACCTATGTATTGCTTGGCATTTTATGTTGCAGACTTTTTATTCCTCTTTACACAGATAATGAGCTCTTTGAATTCAAGGATCTTGCTTACTTCAACTTTCACAAAAATTGAAATGTAGTACCTTCTATGTATGGATAAACTTTGGATTATTTTTTCATTGCTTTGGAATAGCCATACATGTCCTTATTCAGTAGGGATGATGGTCAAATTTAACTCTAATTTTATTGAGGAACTACTTTATTATATTAGAGTTCCTGGTCATCAGATTTCAGAAATCTGGTACACTTATTTTTTTTCCTTGACTATAAAAAAATTAGGAACCAGAGAAATTTTGATCTAAACATTTTTTGCTCAGACTGACAAAAACTTAAAAGGAGATTAATATTATACATTAGAAATAGAATAATGTAGGTAGCACTTATTCATGCAGTCAGTGGGTGTTACTGTCAACAGCTAAATGCTGGCCTCTTTGCTGTTGCCTAGGGATATAATAATTTTAAAATAAATAAATAAATAAATAAATAAATAAATAAGGCATGGTAGTGTATGCATATAATCCCAGCACTCTGACAAAAACTCTGGGTTTAATCTCTGGTACTGAAAATAAATAAATAAATAAATGAGAGAGACAAGATCCCTACCCGATGGAGCTTAGTTAATAACAGACAAAAAAAACCCCCAAAACATTTAAATCAGAGAAGAACAATATATAAGGATTATGAATAGAATTGTGTGAGAGTCACTGGTGATTAGAAAAGGCCTTTTAGAGAAAAAAAGACTGAAAGGATAAGGATATGCCTACATTATGTACTCTAAATATGGTTTCTATGTGAAAGGAATCAGGAATTCATAGAGAACTAGCTTAGTGCATATCTGGAACAAGAACTGTAAAAGAAAACAAAGAAGTAATCAAAGTCTATTTGGCTAATGATATGGGAGGGGATCCCTACAGATAACAGATGTGACAATTTCAACATCAAAAGAGTGGTGCCTGCAATTAATTGGAATATATCTATTATTTACATGAATTCTAAAAATTCATTGTTTGTCTATGGAGCCAAAACTGAACAATCAACTATTCTGCCTTTCCTCAAAGAACAGTACATCAGGGAAACCAGTAGTTAAAAGAATCACAGCTAACAAATGCAGAAAGAATGATAAATTAGTATATTAGAATGAAATGAAATTAAACCCATAATGAAACTTTTCACATTTTCTCTAAATACTTTTGAGTGTTTTGTGTCAGGAGATATAAATATTAGTTTAAAGAACAAAAAGAAAAATTCATCAAGGCTGGGGATGGTGGTGAATGCCTGTAATTCCAGCACTCAGGAGGCTGAGGCAGGATGATCACTGTGAGTTCAAGGCCAACCTGGGCTACATAGTGAGTTCAAGGACAGTTTGAATTACAAAGTGAGATCCTGTCTCAAAACAAATGAATTTAACAAGTAGAAATGGAAGTGGTAGGAAGATATTTCACATGATGGGAACAGTATAAAGGTGCAGTAGTGACAAAGTACTGTACGTATTCAGAGAAGACTTGGTAATCAAGTTCCCCAAACTACATGATATGTAAAGAATACATAGTACCTGGAAATAATGAAACCAAACTGTTGACAGGTTCAGGAGGAATTTGAGATTCAAAGGCACTTCTGTTCCTGCTGTGCTTTGAACTGAAATAATACCATTTCAACAGAGGCATTCAATAATGATTTTAATTAAGCCAAGTTGATTTGGCAGCAGATCTTATTAGAAAGATGCCACGTTGTCCAGGTGCAGTAGTACACACCTGTAATCCCTGGGAATCTGAGCCAGGAAGATTGCAAGTTTGAGCTTGGCCTGGGCAACTTAGCAAGTCTCTGTCTCAAAATAAAATAGTAATGAATAAAATAATAAATAATAAAATAATTATTATTATTTTAATAAAAAGGGCTAGGGGTATGTATAGCTCAGTTCCCAGTGTGCCCCACACAAATAAATAAATATTTTGAAAATAGGAAAAGAAGAGGAAAGGAAGATACCATGTACAGAGTGATGCATTGATTTTGTAGCAACCTCTGCTTACAAAGTCCACTAATTATTGTCATTGTTTTTCATTTCAACATGATAGTATTTTTACAACTTCATGTGTAGAAATGAATATCCCAAAGTTAATTATTTCTGTATCCATTACATTGAGCCCTACTATGCTAGTGTTAGGGGATCCCATATATCTGTATCTAAAAGTAATATGTTATATAGTTGGAATGAGTAGTTCTGACTCATTCCAAGTAAGATGATCTTCTCTGAGATACTCAAATGTCTATATCTGTCTGCATATCATAGACATTCGATATTTTTTTCCAGATTTACATTGTATAGATGATAGTAAATGGGTGGATATATTTGTTGGTAACACTAGTTGTTTTAATTTGAAATGATTTGTGATACAGTATTTTTTAAAAAGAAAAGACCTTTAAAATCTGTCTTTTGAAGATTACTGTAACAGAATAGCACCAAAGTTTGTTCATTAATTCTATAAGCTGGTGTGTATGTGTTTGCTCCAAATGTATTTTTTTCCTCTCCTGGTTATATGAGTTTGGTTGCTAGTGCCTGCTTGGGCCTCTGAGCTGCACTGGGGTTCTGAGATGTCAAGCTGTGGAGTCAGAGCTCTGTGGACACAGACAGCTGTGTTCCCGCTAGCATACTAGAAGGATGTTCTTACGGCTAATCACAGAGTTTGGTGAGGTGAAGTGCATATCATTTAAGTTTCAATTTTCTTATCTATACTCATCTTTTTCCTAAAAGTGGAGACAGAGAATTAGTTAATAATGAGAGAGGGTTTTAGTGTTCTGCCATTTGTCATTGGTTCTTCACTTCTGAATTAAATTTACAGTTGGAAAAACGAGATTTTTCTAAGTAATGTATTTTAAGAGAAAGAGCTTCCTTGATGGCACAATACTTATTTTAGAAAAATGTATATATATATATTTTAACAGGGTATCCAGAAGTTGGCTAGCCAGTACCTGAAGAGAGATTGGCCTGGAATAAAACCTGATGATCGGAATGATTACAGGTAACTTACCAAGTGGCTTTTGTTTATTTTCTTTCAAAAGGGCTCCACTAAGAGCTATCTCACATATGGAGAATGTGACACACTAGTTTTTCAAAGAATTGTTTCTTTGCTGTGTGTTTTTAAACATAATCTCAAAATTATAAACAATTTTTATGTTCCATAACATATATACATACTCTGTGAATTATATCATTTTCATGTATTTTAAGCCAAGGTTATATATCATTTAGTTAATACCCACATATGGAATTTAGAGAAGGTTGATGTCAGTGGAACATTTTCTCAGTGACTAGTGATGAAATACATTATTGCAACAGTGGTGAAACAAGATTATAGTGCACTGTCATGATCAGTGGTTCTTTATTTCTGAAATAAATTCTAAATTTGGAAAGGTAAGATTTGTAAGACTAGGGAAAAAGTTTCTAAGTAATGTATTTTAATGAAGAGAGCTTCCTTTATAGCACAGTACTTATTTTAGAAATGTCTATATGTATGTAAACATGGTGTCCAGAAGTTAGCTACTTATATCTCATATACAAATTTTAAAGAAGGTAGATGATAATAAAATATAAGCTGTGTCCTTAGTGACCTATTAATATCTAGTGTTTGTAATTTTGTTTAAAATTGAATGTCTTTTTGGGGACTTGGAAGTATTTATTGTCTTTTGTGCTGAGGGCTGTCTTTCATGTTACGGGACCCAGGAGTTTGCAGTCTGGTTGGAGTTAAGACTAATACCCATAAAATAATAGTGGAGAGTGCAATGTAATTAAGAACTCAGTATTGAAGTCTATGGTTTGGAGTCTGACTATGAAATCAAGCTGCTTATTTATCAGAAAAGACTGACATCAGAGAATTTCTTAAGACTATGACAATGCTCCTAGAAAACTGAAAGAAGAAACCCTTATAGTTGCTCACAGTGGCAGACTATACTTAGAAGGTGACATGATAGCTGTAAATAATAGAGTGGTATATAGAAAATAAAAATAGAGATTATCTTACATGTACAAATTTCAGCTAAGGAGGAGGAGAGAGGAGATGAAATTTTAGGCCAAAGAGAAATGTGGAATCCAAACTTGAGGCAAAAGAGAGTGTGCTTATTATTGCTGGTCTGAGAAAGTCTTCCTGACCAAGAAAGAGATTACTTGTTGGGAAATAAAGGACTCTAATTTATAGATAAGCTATATTCCACATTTGTTTGAAATTCACAATTCAAGTTACCAAAGAAATAAGAATAAAGAGACTATGTTCTTAGGCTAGCTTATACAACCTAATTCTAAAAAGCGTTTTAATCCAACACTTACCAAGTATTTATTGTGCTAGGAACTTTCACTCATATCCCATGATTATTAAACCCTGTGAGATAGATATGATTATCTTTATTTTGTGTGCTAGGATGCTAGATCATGGGTTATATCCCTTTCTTAAGGTCACACAGACTATTTAAACATTCATTCCTTTTTAACTTATGATTTACCATTGAAATACTGTGTTACTTGTTAAAGTAGATGTTAGAGGGTAGAGACACTCAAAGATAGTATCTGCCTTTAGGAAACTTATAGGAGATAGCCACTGCAAATACTTGCAATATCAGCAGTAGTAGAAGTGCATCAGACCATAGTGGAAAGCCTAGGTTTGGGCCAGGCATTTAGCTCAGTGGTGCCACCACCTGCCTTGCAAGCGGAAGGTCCTGAGTTTGATCCCTGCTACCCGCCCCCCCCAAAAAGAAAAGAAAATCTAGGTTTGTAGATCTTAGTCTTTCTTAAGGAATATCCAAGAGTTTACCAGGCAGATAGGTTGGAAAAAGAAACTTTAAGCAGAAGTAACATTTTAAAGGCATGGAGCATGATAAAATATGAATATTAAGTAATGGTGAGCACGTCAATATAGCTGGTATAAAGTATATGGGTTGGAGAGTAAGAGTGGTGAATGTGGAAAATGCATAGGCATCATAAAAAGACTTGCATATAGTATTATAGAGTTTATATTTGTATTTGGAAAATAATGGATCATTGAAGAATTTCCAAGATGAATGATAACATCAGCTTTCCTTAATTATAGCATGAAAGTGAATTAGAGTGGTATTAAGAAGAATTCGGGAAAGATAAAATTGCGGGAATTTAGTCTCTCATTATCTCTTATTTGAACCATGGAAATTATAGAAAAAATGAGGTTTAGGAGAGATACCAGAGATATTTAGGAAACTGAAGCTAGAGGACTTCCAGCTGATTTGGCAGAATTTTGGTTTGTTTGTTTAGTTTGTCAAATTTGTTGAGATAAACTGGTAAATGGTTTTCTTTGTATCTGAAGTAGCTCTTGGCACATAGAAAGCACTTGATAAATATTTAGTGACTGAATGAGTGAAGCAGAAGGAGAGGAGGAGGAATTACACAATGACTCCCAGGTTAAATTTGGCCAGGCGAGAGAATGGTGGCACCATTCTGCAAAAAAAACAGTAGAAAGATCAGAGTTAAGGATGAGAATGCAAGTTCTCAATTTTGTTTTTGTTTATTCAGTTTGTTTTTAGTTGCATTAAATTGCTCAGTTTTTTAGTATATGTGCTGCTGAAGCAAGCACAGCTTGTTTAATTTTTTAATTTCTATTTTTATTGGTAGTTTAATCCAAGTGATATGTGCTTTTCATTAAGTAGGTAAATAATACAGTAGAGCATAAAGGGTATAAAATCCAGCCTCATCCTCTTTCTCAAGTCTCTTTCATTTGCTTTTCTATCCTTGGAGTGACCGCTGTTAAAAATCATGTGGTCTTTTCTTTGATATTTTTTCCTGTGTGATTCATTCATGAACATATGCAGTTTTGCTCTTTTTTTTTTAAGCAGAACTGGAATTACTCTATACATATGTTTCTGTAAACTGCCTCCCTACACTATGGAGTCTGTTTTAGCCAACCTTTCATGGCACTGTATTCGTTCTTTTTTTGGTGGGGTTACTGGGGATCGAGCTCAGGACCTTGCACTTGCAAGGCAGAGGTGGTGCCACTGAGCTAAATCCCTGGCCCCATATTTGTTCTTTTTAATGGCTGTTTTAGAGTCATAGTATGGATGAACTATAGCTTTATTATTAATTTCCATATCGGTATTTAGTTTGTTATTATTGCAAGTAATTTTACAATAAATAATTCCTGTATGCATATCTTTGTATGCTTTGGAAATACGCATATATCTGTAGGGTAAATTCTTAGAGGGGGAAATGTAGGGTAAAAGGTTTATACATTGAAAATATTGATATTGGACCTTGCCCTTCATAAGCTTTGTATCAGTATAATTTACATTTCTTCTAAAGTAATTTAAATTTACCCCTTTATATTTATTATTTATTTATTTATTACTAACAGTGCATGTCATCATTCTTTTAAAGGATTTATCTGATGATATGTGCACCATTTAATGCCATGAAAGCACTCCCATTTGTCTGGAAACGACTTCTGCAACACTAGTTTCTCTAGTGTTGTTTTTTAATCTTTCTAAATGTTTCTCAAAGTTCTCTCAGCTCTCTAATGATTCTTCTCAGTGATCATAACTATATTCCTGGCTTTACTGTTGTCTACAAACTGACAGTAATCTTATTTTTATTAACTTTCAATTTGAAAAAGTCAGCTCTCTCCAACTTCAGCTTTCTAGATCTCATCTTCCTGTATCTGAAATAAGTCTCAGGTCCTCTGTTTGTTATCTTTTTCACAATTCCATTTGCTACGGTGTAACAAACTATCTTCATTGTTTATCTTAGCTATCTTTATGTCTTTGTAAAATAGGTCTACTGTCACTCCCCTGCTTAAAAGTCTTCTCATTTCTCCTTACCATTAGGATGAAATTTAATTTCTTTTTTATGATATTCAAAGCCATGCAGAAACCTGGTTCCACATTACCTGCCTCATCTCTGTCCATTTGTCCTTCTTTTGTCCTTGTTCCACAACCCTTGGGTGCCTCAGCTGCAGTTCTTAACATAGCTCACTGGAACTGCAGTCAGCCTTCTTCCTGCCTTTACTTCTGCTACCTTAAGACATTCTCCCTTCCTACTGCCAAGCACAACAGTACAGAACATTTATTTATTCAAACAACATATCTACTCCTTATCATCGGTTTCTGTATAAATTAATCTTACCTTATGACCTTATTACATTTTTTACATCTTCCCATGGTACAGTACTAGAAGGAAACTCTATTTCTAGGTCTTCACAAGATCTGTGGGTTTAAAAAAAAACATTTTATTTTGAGATAATTGTAGCTTCACATAAAATTGTAAGAAATAATACAAAAAATGTTCTTATATTTTTCACTCAGTGGTAACATTTTCCATAACTATTGTATAGTATCAAAACAGGGAATTGATGGCCAGGTGTGGTGGTGCACACCTGTGTCACAGCACTGGGGTGGGAGGCAGGAAGATGGCTGTGAGTTCTAGGCCACCCTGTGCTACATAGTGAGTTCAAGGCCAGAGTGAACTGCATAGTGAGACTGTGTCTCAAAAAACTAAACAGGGAATTGATAGTGATACAGCCTGCCAATCTATTTTACAATCTGTCAGGTCTATGGGCACTCATTTGGGTGCATGTACATGTGTGCCTACATTCTGTATAGCTGTAGCACAGGTGTAGATTCATGTGACCACCACCACAGAAAGGATGAATTTGTTGGCTTGTTTTGCCATGAAAAATTACTTTTGGAAAAGTTTTGCCTGTTTTCCAATATGATATTCTTTTAAGAAACAGTTTACAGAATGATCTTAGGTGGTGTATTGATAAATATTTTTGTATTTTACTAGTTACAATAATTATGACAAGTGTTTGTTTTTTCACTTAAAATAGTGATATAAAGTAAGGTACATATATTTTAACTTAAAAGGTGTCAGTTTAACAAAAAAATGGTATAGAAGATATAAGACGAAAAATAGTGTAGACCATATACAAAGGACTTAGGACTTGATAAAAACTTTTATCAAAATGAAGAGACCCTTTTTTATGTTGATCTTGTTACTGACACCAAGAGCAGTCTTATGTCAGCAGAAGAGAGGAGATTTGAGAGTCAGATAAGTCAGTTTGAATCTAGGCTCCATCATTTCCTCCTCTCCTACCTGCAATATCATATCCTCATCTAGATCTTGAGGATAAAATGATAACTAAAACAAAGCTGCTACCATGTGGAGCCTACATTCTAGTGAAGGAAGACAGATAGTAAACCACGGAATAATTTTATGTGCAGTTGGTGGATGTATAGTAAGGTGAACACAGACTACCAAAGGGCAGTGTACCCTGTGGAGTGTAGGCGTCAGGAGCAGAAATCAATTAGGGACTGGTACAGGTGGTCACAGTAGAGGGGATAAGCTAAATCAGATTTTATTTTGTGAGTATAAACATACAAGATTTCTTGATGAAACAGAAGTGGGATGTTAGAGATCAAGGAGAGATCCGTGATGACTCTGAGGTTTTGATTTGAGCAAGTACATTTGAGGAGCTGTTAGTGAGACAAAAGATTGTCAGAACAGAGTCTAGGGAAATAATGTTAGATTTAAACTATTAAATATCTAATGCCTACTTAATGTGGGCAGTTGAGGGTAAGGGAGATGTGTGGGGAGGATTTTAACAGTTCAGGACTAGTCAATACAATTGAGAGTATTTAAAACCATGAGTCTGGTTTATAACCTATTATAAATCTGCTAATCTGTAAAGGTCTTTTTAAAAATTCTCCTTATGATGAAAGAATTTCTTTTTATTTTACAGTTGTCATTATTTTATACATTCATCCATTCATTCCCTTATTCATTCAATACATTTTATTGTAGCCATTCTATATTTGCTAGGCCCTAGGAGTACAATTGTCAGCAAGACACACACCCCTGCCTTCATGGAATTATCACTGTAGTGAGAAGAAAGAACATTAACTAAAGCATTTTTTAATTGAAGGAAAAGTGCTGGAGACATGAACAAATAACAAAGGAAAGGAAGATACTTGATTAACTCTGGGGGTTGGCTTAGTGGTGATCATGAAAGACTTCACAAAGAAGGTTGTATTTAAGCTGAGATATGAAGGATGAACAACATTAACTAGATAAAGAGATAAGAGGAAGAGGGTGTTACACTTAGAGAACATAAATGCAACATAATTCTTCCCTTCTTCCCGTTCTGCCATCACAATTCATAATAGTTGTTTTTCATTTTGATCTTAAAATGTATTTTAAATACAAATTAAAAGTTACTAAACATAGAACTGAGATTTTCTCTCAGTACATTTCTTGGGAAAATCAATTATTTGGGCTGTTTAGGAGTTTATATCCTAAGTCCCAGCAGTTGTCATGCAGTCGGGCCATGAGGACACCAGTTTTGTTGTTGTTGAGTCTATCTTTGCTTTTATGCAATTTTTGCTCCTGTAAATCACTGAATCATTTCAAAGAGATAGTACATATCTCTGCCTAAATAAATGAATATTTCCATCTAAACTGGTTAATTTGCTCTATTTCAGAGACTAGATTCTAAGACTCCTTGGTTAAAAAGTATAGTTTTTCAAGTTTTTAAAATTCTAACTAGGTTAGGGACCCATGCAGTTTTTCTTTTCTTCCTTTCACCTTGTCATCTATTGACCCACAGCTAGCATTTTCTGTAGCATGTGGTCCCATACATTGGTATACTAGAAAGTCCATATGAACACCAGAAGGGAAATCTCAGGAGATGAATATTATAATGCATCAAAATTTTACTGTCTTGTCTTTACAAACAAAAATACAGTACCACTCGTTGTGATGTTATAAAATGTATTTATGACTACTAGAGGACCATACTATAATTGGCTAAGGCATTAGTAAATTAGGAGAGAAGGTTTGAAAAGGAAGTTGATGGGCCAGGGATTTAGCTCAGTGGTTCCGCTGCCTGCCTCACAAGCGCAAGGTCCTGAGTTCGATACCTGGTACCAATAAAAAAGGAAGTTGGCTAGAAAAAGCAAAGGGTGAATAATTCTTGGACTTTGTTATTAGAGATTGTTAAGCACATTTATCAAGCAAGGTGGTGGAACTTGCTTGGAATGACTCCAAAGCACAGTATGATGCTGGCTAAGTTATGTTAGAACAGAGAGACAGATGTAGAGCGACAATACCATGAATTTTGTTCTTGTTGTTAAACAAAATAGACTTCTCAAACACGTATGCTATTGTTCATGATATATTTTTTCCAGCCACATCAGTTTATGTAAGATAATATAGTTGAAAGAGGATGTACCTTAGATGTTTCCAATCTTCATCTTTATCTCAGTGCTGATTTATTCTTGTATGACTTAAGAGTTATTTCCTAAATCTCTGGGAAGCTCACTTACCTCACCTGTAAAGTAAGAAAATACCTTAATGAAATAATAAAATTTGATATTCATAATAATGACCCTGTGACAGTTCAAAAAACTGTTAGCTTTGTCTCTAGTTATAATCCTTGTGTCCCTTTACTCCATTATTAAGAATAACCAGTGAGGGCTGGGGATTTAGCTCAATGGTTCCGTCGCTTGCCTTGCAAGCACAAGGACCCGAGTTCGATCCCTAGTACCAAAAAACAAAACAAAACAAACAAACAAAAAAGAATAACCAATGACTCAAAATTCCCTGTAGCTGAGCTATAGAGGAATAGAGTATATTTTGTGCTTTTCTGTGTGCTGAAATAGTGCCTTGTAAACCAGTATAAATATACTTATGGTTATACAGAAAATAATCTATCAGTGCTAGAGAATGAACAAAAGGTTAGCCAACTTTTTCTTCCTTTTCATTGCCTAATGCTTTTCCATCCCTCTTTGAATTTAGGAGTATGTATCCTGTTTGGAAATCTTTTCTCGAGGGAACAATGCAGGTGGCCCAGTCTCGGATCAATATATGTGAAAACTATAAAAACTTCATTTCTGAGCCTGCAAGGGCAGTGAGAAGCTTAAAAGAACAACAACTAAAAAGGGTATTGTTTCTATTTCTGTTCCTTTCTTGTATGTATTTTAATATCTCAGTGCTACAGGTATAATGTGTAAGATTAGCTAAATTGAATTTAAAACTGAGCTTTTTAAAAATAGAATCTCAGATGTTTATAGATGTCATTTTACCAGACTTTCTCAATATACTCCTGCACTGTATTTTATTAGCTGATAAAAGTGAGTGTAATTTGAATCTATAGAAATTGATAAAGCTCAGTAAACACTTAGAAATCACTTTAATATATAACAAAAATGGAGAACATCATGATGAAAGTTTTAAAAGTAGAAATCTGTTAATACTTTAGTAAATATTAGAGTAAGAAAAATAATGTCTCAGAAGGCATCCAGTGTTTTGATTCTGGTTGTCATTTGGATTTTCAGGAAAAATTTTAAAAACTAATCTTTGTTTGCCAAATATGATTGAAGTAGCATGAAATTAATATGTTATGTGTATGTGTATATATAAAATTTTAATTATCTGTAGCATTCACTTAATATCATTTGGTTTAAACATATTTGCATAAGAATGCCTATGACTTATCATCACTGTTATTATTTGTTTCAAAGTAAACATGGTGAACAAACTGTGTGACCAGTGATGGATTTCAAGTTGGAAGAAAATGTACATTTGTGTGTGTGTGTGTGTGTGTGTGTGTGTGTGTGTCTGTCCAATTATGCAGAAAAAGGAGTGGAAAGTAGGAGCAGAGAATTAATACTAGTAAAACTTTCTAACAGGAAGAAAATACTGTTTCAATTGCCAGTGCATTTATCAAATCTAGTTGAATTACTGGAAAGTTCCCCCTTTTTTCACTAAGATCTGAGGAAGTAGGGTGAAAGAAAGGCACTGTGGGTAAGGGGGAGTAAAAATTATCAAGATGTGATATTACCAGTTCCCCAAGATGAATGTAATTATTATGTAGCACAAATATATGCTAATAAAACATTGTTTCAAAAAGAATTTTCCTCTGTCTGATATTTTTCCATTGGTGAAATAGTTTTAGACCTGAATTTAACTAACATTCTTGGGCAAAGAATGTTTGTTGAGGCTTAACAATTTTCTTATCTGTGTATTAACTTTTTTATATTATAGCTGATAATACTGGTGTTTATGTTCCATCTAGGCAGTTGTTGAACACCTAAGTACATATTGGGGATACCTATCAGGACTCTGGGATTGCAAATGACAAAGTTGTTTCAAACTGGCTTCAGCCAAAAAGAGAATATATTAATTTATATAACTCAATTCCGGAACTTCAGTCATAGGCAGATCCAGAAGCTCAGTTGATAGTTTTAGAAATCATTCTTTTCTTTCCTGCTGTTCGTTAGCTCTGTTTTCTCCAGTGACTTTATTGTTTAGCAACTTTCTCTATATTGTGGTCTTCAAAGTGCCAGATTTATAAGTCTGAGATTTATAAATCTCACTTACAGAGTTTCCATTTCCCCAAAAGTTTCAGTAAAACTACCAAAATTGTTTTCAGTAATGGCTACATCATTTTTGCATTCCCCCCAGCAGTTTACAGAGGTTCGAGTTTCTCTATAACTTTCCCAATACTTGTTGTCTTTTGGGATTGGGGGCTGGCTAAAATAATAGCCACCCTGTTAAGTGTAAGATATTTCATGATTTTCCTGGTGGTTAGTGATATTAAGCAATTTTTCTTCCATTAGCATCTTAATTTTATAATTCTATATTTTTTATTACCATACAGATTTCAGTGTCCATTTATTCCATTACCTTGAATTAGTTATTTTATTATTCCCCAGATCTTTTTATGTAATTTATTTATTTATTTTTTAATGTTTACAGTACATAAAGATCACATTTATCATGGGGAATTTGTACATGTACATATCTCATCTTAATTCTTTTTTTGTTCCCTCTCCCTCCCCTCACTCTAACCAACTCTTCTTCCTTCACCCATTTGCAAAAGCTGTATTTCCATTTTTTCCCTTCAATTCTTTTTTCCTTTAAATCCCTTTTCTCTTCCGTCACTCCCCCTCCTCCACCTCTTGTTCCCCTTTCTATTTGAAAAACGTTCTTCCTGATTCCTAATATCTATCCTCTATTTTGTTCCTTAGTTATACTTTTGGTTTTTCACACAACAGAAGCAGTGTAATACTTGTGTGTAAAACTTGTGTGTCTTATTTATTTCACTTAAGATTATGGTCTTGCTGGGCTGGGGATTTAGCTCAGTGGTTCCGGCACCTGCCTCCAAAGCGCAAGGTCCCGAGTTTGATCCCCATACCAAAAAAAAAAAAGATTATGGTCTTGCTGAGTGTGGTAGCACACATCTGTAATCCCAGCACTTGGAAGACTGAGACAGGAAGATCACCATGAGTGCAAGGCCAGCCTAAAATATGTAGTGAGACCTTGTCTCAAAAAAAAAAAAAAATGGTATTGAAGAGCATCCTTTACCTAAAAATGCCTCAAATTTTTCCTTCTTTATGGCAGAGTAGTAACCCATTGTATATAAATACCACATTTTCTTTATCCATTCATCTGTTGATGGGCATCTAGGCTGTTTCTAAGATTTACGTATTATAAATTGTGCTGCTAAAAATACAGGTATGCATTTATCTCTGAGATATGATAACTTTTAACTGTTTTGGGAAGATACCTAGAAAGGCAGCCTATTTGCCAAATTTTGTTCCAAATTAATTTTAAAGTCTTGTCTTGAATTAGCATTTGACTCTATATCATGAACAATATAAAAATCTCCTGACAATACAATTCTGTTTACCTTCCTATTATGACTTCTATTGCTGTTACACCTTTTAACTCTGTTTATACTGCCTTTATATTGCATTTTGTATTTTTTCTGTATTTCCACACTTTCCTCTAAATTCTTTAGTCTGAATATTTTCCAATGATATTCTGTTCTTTTATTTTTAATCTATTTTCAAAATTCATCTTTTGGATCTTAATATATTTTTTCAGTTCTAGAATTTTTATCTGACTTTATTTTGGGGGGATTGTTATCTGACTTTTAAAAAATATCCTCCATATTTGGGGTGCAATTCTCCATGGTTTTCCTTTTTTCTCTTAAACATGTTACAACCTAACCTGTTTCATAATTTCACTATCAGAATCACTATAGGCTTGTTTTTATTGTCTACCGTTTTTCTTGTTTTTTGTTATTTAGATCTGCATTAGTGTGCTTCACAGTACTGGAGATTGTGGATAAAATTTGTGGAGAATCTGCAAGATGTTTCTAAAGAGGATGAACTTAGGCAGGCAGGTAGAATGTTAGACCTTTATCTTGTTAAGGTATGGCTTTTTAAGAGCTGATCATATTTACTTCTGCAATCTTAACTGAAAGTAGAGGGTGCTTACTAAGATCTTTCTACTCAGACAAGACTTGGACTCACCCCATACATGCCTACTAGAAATCAACTAATAACTCAGGAGGAACTTGAATACTAATTTTTGGACTTGCTCCTTTACAGTACTCTTCTTTCTAGATCATTGCCTTGCAAGTTACTGCTCTTTTGGCATCACTGAACCCCAAATTCTGTTTCCAAATAGAATACCACTTTCTATTTATATCCTCTTACTTTGTGCCATGATTCAACAGATGCTCTGGGTGGGGGAACATCAGGTTTTGTGTGCTCCCCTAGTTGTACCCACCTTGTCCCAGGTCTCTTAGTTCCATAAGTCTAGTGTATGCTATGTCCAACTTTTATACTTTCCAGTCTATGGGGAGGTATTTTGATCAAGTTGTTTTGTCATATTTCATAACCAATTTTGACTTAAAATGCTGCCTCTATAATAATTTAAAGTTCATGTCCTGGTTTTTTTTGTTTTATTTTTTTGGAGACAAGGTCTCTCTGTGTAGTTCAGTTGGTCTTGAACTCAACACAGTTTTCCTACCACAACCTCCTGAGTTCTGGGATTATAGGTGTGTGCCACCATACCTGGAAAAGTTCATGTTCTTTTATAAATTTCTTCAGTTTAGGCTGTTTTCTTTCATAATACTTGAAAATACAGACATACCACTATTAGGAAATACCTGATACTATAATTAAAATTATGTGAGATTATAATGAGAATTATACTGAAGCCTTTTCCAGAACTTTCTTTATATGCTAACATTTGCTTATAAATTGAAAGAAAATAAGAGCCACAATAATCTAAGGCATTTTGCCATTATTGTATTTACTTAGCCATGCCTTTGTCTATATATTTCTCGTTATACTAGAGCTTACTGCCTTCCCTTGAAGTAATTGTGATCAGGGCTTAGGGTTATATAGCTCAGTGGTAGAGTATATGCTTAGCATGTGTCAGGCTCTGGATTTGATTTGTAGCAACACACACACACACACACACACACGGAGTAGAGAGAAAAAAATTATGACTAATTCTTTTTATATAACATTTGTATAACATTTTAGAGTTCACAAACTGCCACTACAACTTTTATAGTCTCATTTGATTTTCATAATTCTGATAGCTATGTAAGTATTATTTTATGAATGATGAAACAGGCCAAAAAATATTAGAGCTTTAGGTAGAAAATAGCAGAACAGAAACTTGAATATATTACTTTCTAATTTGAAATTCTAAATAATCTTTTAAATACACTTGAAGTTTAATATTTAAGAAGGTTTACAGAAAATATACAACTCCTTTACCTTAGGAGAAATGAAGGATCATTTCTTACTCCTTTTATCTTAGCATTTGTACTAGGGATTTTGAGATTATGAAGGAACACAGAATTACTTGTTCTTTTGCCTTTATTGCCATGATATCTACAATAGCAAGAGTCTTTTAGGGTTGCTCTTCTTATGCCTTACCTTAATGTCAGTCATCAGCAGTAGTTATTTCTCAAAGGATGATTGTTAGGCAAACTGTGACACAATTTGATGCGGTGCTTGAGATGGACATACAGCTGTTCACCAGATTTTACTTTGCAATTCAAAAGACACTAAAAGTGCTGATTTTTCTGGATTTCCATCCTGAAGGCATTTTGCATGATCCTAAGGACAAAGTTATTTTCTTTAAGCCTGAAAACTAAAATTACAATAATTGCATCTTTGTATTTTACAGTGTGTGGACCAGTTAACAAAGATCCAAACTGAATTACAAGAGACAGTGAAAGATTTAGCTAAAGGCAAAAAGAAGTACTTTGAGACTGAACAGATGGCTCATGCAGTACGAGAGAAAGCTGACATCGAGTCAAAGTATGTGATTTAGCATTTCTGAGAAAATGATCGTACAAATAAATGTTATCTTTGCTGATGCTTTATTCTGCATTTGTACAGGGCATAGTCTTGTTCTTAGGTTGTATTGGTGTCTTTGGTTGTATGTTTGAACTACATAGTATACTTAATGATATTTTTCTTTTATATTAGCTGATTTTTACTCTGTTAATGCAGCAAAAAGTTAATATTGATCATTATATTGAATTTTGAAATATAATAATACCTCAGTTCACAAACGCTTCTGTTCACGATTTGGTTCACAAACAAAAGCATTTTGCAAAATTTTACTTCCATTCACAAACTCCACATAAGGTGACAGATATGACCACAGCTATCTTCCTCACTCAAACCCAAATGCAGCTGTCTTCCCCAGAATTGTAAAACAAATTAAGTTTGTAGACCGAGATAGCACTATAGAAAGTAGAGGATCATTGTAATCACAGACTTGAAAGCTTATCCAAAGTCTAGTTAAAGTTGTTATGTTGTCGAGGATCAGGGTTTGAGAACCTAATTTTTATCATACTAGACTCTATATCAGTGATATTTGAAAATCCCTGTGACCTCAGGATTCCACTGAAGGATTGTGGACATATTAAGTGAATTAAACTATTTTTATATAGAAATTCTGTCCCCAACACTTTACATGAAATTCTAGCTCATTCGTTCATTCATTCATTCATGTATCGTACTAGGGATTGAAGTCAGGGCCTTAGTATTGAACTACATCCCAAGCCATTCTATTTATTTTTGAGACAGGATCATGCTAAATTTCCCAGGCTGGGCTCAAGCTTACAATCTTGCTACCTCAGCCTCCCAGAGTACTGGGATTATAGGTGTGCACCACCACATGCAGCTTCATATATATATATTTTTAGTGTATGCTTCAGAGATTGTGTCAATTTCAATTTCAGTATATGAGAATTACAATCCTTTATTTTGAGAATAATGAAGAAAAGAAGGAACTGGCAGTTGGTAGTAAGAGATATATACAAGTGATGGAGATTTTTTATAATGACAACTTCAGGGAATCTGATAAAAAGTTAGACTAAAAGAAACCAGTGTTATAGAACTGTACTCTAAAGAGGTCTATGAGGAGGAGAGTTGAGGCTTCTGTTCAGTGCTTTGACTGATGCAAAAATCTAGGCTGGAGTCCTAAACATGAAATCAGAGTGCTTTGGGCACTTGAGCAAACAGTCCATGTTGGTGGGTGGGCCTTCTAACACATTTTTTTATCTGCAGGAAACAAGCAATTTCAAAGGTATCTTGTAAAAATTCAGGGCCTCCTGGAAAGTTTATGTAGAATAAAGGGATAGCAAATGAATACTCATCAAGTGCTTGATGTTATTTAACATTTTCCTAGTTTTGTTTATTTTTTTGTTTTAATTTTTGAGCAGTTTCTATACTTTCATAGGGTAATCAATCCTATCTTTGCTGAAGATCCCATCTTCTTCTGAAGTTTTTAGATTAGGAGATCTCACTAGGAGATACTGCCATTGCAGTTTTTAAGAACTTGTTTTTTAAACTCACAGGGATTTCAGAATATAAAATTGACAGATTTATAGGTATGTTTAAATACGTTATTCAGCCACGGTCCACAGGGTGAAAATGAGGACAGTGGTGGATATTTTTGTCTGAATTTGACAGGGTCTTCTTCACAAAGCTGATCACAAGGAAGAGCTTTCTAATATGGCCCAAATTCATAGTGAGACATTTTACTTCAGTGTTTCACTTCTCTAGAAAATTAATTCAACTGCAGAGTAAGAAATGCCTCTATATTTTAACTCCTTCACTAAAGATTAATTGAGTAATTATATTGGGTACTACGGGTACTGAGATAAGTAAGGTAAACTTTGTGCCTTCAAGGAATTTGGAACCAGAATTGGGAAATATGTCTAAAAGTAATTTTATTATGTGTTTATTCACAGTACAGCCATTCTGCTAGTCACCATTTTTTAGTAGTAATATGAAAACAGTTACAAAAGCATAGAAAGTGGAGAGATTTATTTTGCCTAATGATAAGGGAATCTTTTATAGAAGTAAAATTTGGATAGAATCTCTAAAAATGACTGATTTTCCTAAGTAGAGAGAGGAAGATCAGGAAGGTGGCCTGAAAATGGGACTACATGTAGTCTTGATAGACAGTAGGAGAAACCATAGGAAGAAGTGGGATATATAGCTTTAATAAGATGATAAGTTTTATTTTGGATGTATAGGTTCTGGAGAGCCTGGGAGAGTTAGCATGGTTTTGTTTTCTAGGTAGTCAGATAACTTCTCTTACATAAGAATTTAGGACTGAGGATCTCACTTTGGGAGTCATTTGCCCATCAGCTTGTAGTTACAGATATATAGTTATATATACAACAAGATGTGACATTAAGTTGGAAACCCAAGGACCATTAACATTTGAAATGTAGGTAGTAAAAAGTAGTATACAATATGGTTCATTATTCATATAGTGCATGATTTATGAAAAATCTATCTTATTTTTTTCTAGAGTTTAGTCTTTAAGGACAGTTACTCTCTTATTCTGTCACTAATACTTACCTTAATACCACAAGAGAAATATATGCAGATTAGCAAGTGAAGCAGAAGCCAGAAACTTTAAACCTTATATTGGAAGATCTAGATTCAACTCAGATTATTTGGATAATGACTATATTACAAAGGAAACTGGTAATATCTCGAACACATTCTGTTTAACCCTAATAGGCACTCTCAAATTGTAAAGTTTGTAGCCTTTGCTTTTCTAGATCAAGTTGAATAGAAATGTGAGTAATAAACAAACAGAAAACCTCATGAAATATGAATATAACAAGGTAGGAATATCTTATCTTTTTTTTTTTTTTTTTTTTTTTTTTTTACAGCAGGGAGAGTTGGGATGCATGTGTGTTCATCCCAAAATGTTCTCTGTCCTATTAAAAAGATAAGAGTTTCCTCTTCATATTGGCTGTGCAGAGACTGGCTATTCCACATTCCAATTCCAAGTAGTCTGCAACTGTACTTCATATTAAAGCATAGCTAAGCACATGCATTGAGTTCTCCCATGGCGCTCACTGTGACACCACAGTTAAGACAAACATTGCAGCTTCAGAAAATCACTCATCATGGAAGTGTTGCTTGTTCCTTAGCATCTGCTTGTTGACTTTGTCTGCATAGTTATTTTTAGTTGTGTGAGTAAACATATTTTTACTACTTCTTGTTTGATTAACGAGATCAGGGAGATAATACCAGAGCAGGAGATTATGAAATAGAGAAAACAAAATTAGAGTCCAGGAACCTTTTCAGTAGGTTCAGAATACCTTTAGGAGTCCAAGGGCATACAGGCAGGTTCCCAGACACAAAGAACTTTTAGTGGAGGGAATAACAAGAGTAAAGGACTTCGTAGGGCCTCAAATGTTCTAATGTTGTTACACGCTGTCATATGCAGCTCTGAAAAACTACTAATCCTTGCCCCCTTAGGTTGATTGTTCCCTGGGTTCCAAGTAACTTTACAAGAACTAAAGTGTGTGAAATTTTATGATACTGGGAATAAACTGTAGTTTGATGACTCTTGTTTATTAGGGAATACCTTAGTGTAATTTAATTTTTTATTTGTCAAATTATATTTCTTTTTCATTGAGGATATTTTAATTGTGTGAATCCCAATATTTTTTAACTTTACCATAATATTATGTTCTTCCTATACTAAAATAAATGCCAATAAACATTGCTCTTGGTTTACCAATTTTTGGTTTGTTTTAGAGCAGTGTCTTGAAAAAGAGTCATTAAAATATTAGTAGTTTTATTGTCATGTTTATAATTTATAAATTTTATTAAACATTTTATTTATTTTATTGTAGGTCTAAACTTAGTCTTTTTCAATCAAGAATCAGTTTACAGAAGGCAAGTGTAAAGGTGAGTTTTTGAAAGGTGTATTACACAACTGAGAAACCTCTTAGCTTATAAAATAAAGAATTGGATATTTCAACGTTGTAAGTGGGTTAGTTCTACCTTAGAAAAGCATTTTTAAGGTTTTAACTCTGGAAGAAACCTTCCTTCCCTATTCATGGGGGTTTTTTACCCAGGTGTTAAAATTTTGGTATTAAAATTTTGTTAAACCTTGCTTTAAGAATGTTTCCCTGCCATACATGTTCAGTAGCCTGTGTGTTTCACTCTTAGTCCAAGAGACATAGTGCAGGGGCATCAGGAAGCCCTACAGGATCATTGCATCCAGACTTAGATGCCTCAGCAGGTCTTCTGGACTAGTGCAAGTGAGTTTTCCTGTCAAAGCTTCAAGCTGTGTAATATTGGATAAATGAGCTTAGTGATTTAGTTTTGATGCCAGGTTCCCCACCAACTGGCAGTTCTCCTGGCATGTTGGGAGTGTTGGTTTTTTAAAATCTATTTTCTAACTCCATTAGAGTTGCCCATGTCTTCAAAGATACTTAATTTTTTTTAAATTCCCAACTGAACAAAATGAGCATAACATTTTGAAGTTCTCTAGAAAGCTTTGAAAGTATGTTAATAACTGCCAAAATGTAAGTTATTTACATCCCTCAAGTGTAAATAACAAAATATTTGAAAATGCTCTTCCCATGTATCCAGTCAGTTTTTTTCCTTAATAGTGATGGATAATTTTATATGCATATAAATGTTTTTTCCACTTAGTTATCTTTACTCTTGGTGGGGAGCCACTAATTGCCAACTAAGAGTAGTAGTCTTCTGTGTTTTGCAGTGTGATGTCACTTTATTTTTCTTTTACTCTGTTTTAGTTAAAAGCCCGGCGATCTGAGTGTAATTCAAAAGCTACTCATGCAAGGAATGATTATCTTCTTACTCTAGCAGCAGCAAATGCACATCAGGATCGCTACTATCAAACAGATTTAGTTAATGTTATGAAGGTAATACAGTTGTAATATCTCTGGTAATTTTACTTCATTAAAAAAACAACTCATGAGCTGGGTGTGAGGTATACAGGATTGAGTCTATTGAATAGTAGCAAGGCTATTTTATATTGGTATTGTTTGAGTAACTTCTGTTTCAGACAATTTGGAATCAAACATTTAGTATAAGAAAATGTTTAAAGCCGAATCATAATAAAATATTGTTTTACTACTTAGCCACAGCAAATATTTGCTGTAATATTAGAAAGATTATTGATATGTAAGATGAGATTGACATACTGTATAAGATGAGATATGGAAGCTCTTAATCTGGCAAGCTGCTTTTGCACCATTTCCTAAGATCTAGTTCATATGAGTCAATAAAATATTGAAGCTAGGCAGAATCTTCAATTGTCTTCTAGGCACAATCATCAGAGAAGGGCTAAGATTTCAGCATAGTTTTATCTTTTGTTAGGTTACCCTTATTTTCTGAAAAAGTATGTTTTTATTAAAAATATTTTAGTGTATCTCATAAGTAAGGTAAATTCTTTATCAACTGGAATTTTGGACATTAACCAGGTGGTTATTTGTAATTTTTTAAAAATGTTAGCTATTTTAAAATTTCGTAACTTTAATAGATGAAATTTTGCATTTGTGTTTGATGATTTTGAAATGTTTACAGGACAAACAATATCAGTGGTTATATGATGATGTCTCCACTTTGGGTATTACTCTGAAATGTAGATAGATTGGATTACAGTCTGTACTTGAACATCATGGTCTTTCCTCATCTATCCTGGATTTATTTTTAACTTTCACTGAAGTAAAGGGAGTGAGGTGAAGGAGAAGAAAACTGTTTTAGCACTTTGAATTCTGTTTCATTCTTGCCTTATTTCTCAAGAAATAAAACACTGGATTATTATGTCTTTCTCTTGTATTTTCAACGCACTCCTCTGAAATGTGTAGTTCTTAGTGACTATCCAATAAGCACATTGCTGCCATTGAATTGCTTGATTTAGGAGTCAGCAGTTGAGAATGGGATGCAGCTGGAGCAGGCATTCTTTTTCTCTCCAGAGGCTCTGGGAAAGAGATTAGCTCTGTCCAGAAACCACAAGTTCATTCCTTGAAAGTACGAGCAGGATATTTCCTGGAAGTTCCAGGGAAATACAGAGGTATTAAGAGGATGTCAAACTGGACTGAGAATTATTTTATTACAGAACTTTTTCCTTTCTTTTTATTTATTCCCTGAAATGCTCCTTTCCCTGAAATGTCCTGTTGTGACTTCTGCTGGTTTAAATACAGATTAAAATAGCAAAAGATGGGGAATTGTTTTGATATCCAGATAAGAAATCTTTGTACCTTTTCCCATGTGTTTGAACTAGAGATTTAGATGCTTGCTTATTAGGTGTTATATAATGCTTTGAACTTACAAGGACATATAAGTTCCGACAATGTGTACACTCAGTTTCAAGCAATGCATTTACTAAAGACTATTTTTAGCACAGCCTGTATTTAAAAAGTTGTAATTCTCTATGTCCTGTAAATGTTTATCATTAGATCAAAGCTGATAACTACAAGTTGAGTATCCCTTATCTGAAATGCTTGGGACTAGAACTGTTTCAGATGTTAGAGCATTTCATATTTTAGATTTTTTAGGCGAAGGATGCTCAATCTATGTATATGAATACTTGTAAATGTGCATTGTATTAGCAGAAGCAGAAGCAAAAACAAAATCCTAGACTGAGGGTATAGCTAAGTGGTAGAGTATGTACTTAGTCTGTGCAAGGCCCTGGGCTCAATCCTCAGAACCACAAAAATAAATAAATAATTAAATCCTCTGTTTTTCAGATTGAATCTACAACCAAAAAGATGGTTTTCAATAAACCAGGGAAGATCCATTATTTAGTTGTGCATGATGGTGTCCACCCATAATCCTAACTTCTCATAAGGCTGAGGAAGTAGAATCACAAGTTTAAATCCAGACTGTGCAATTTAGCAAGACTGTATTTGAAAATAAAATAGAAAAGGGCTAGGAATCTAGCTTGGTGGTAGAGCACTTGTCTAGCATTGTAAAAGGACGGGGTTCTATCTCCAGCATCACCCCACCCCCAAAATGATATATCATTTAGGGGATCTGTGCTTCTGTCCTTTAAAAACTGAGAAAACATATTCTCAGTTTTTTCATGTATAACCTTATTTTCTTCCTCGTGCTAATTCTATGGGCTGTAGTACTGGGAAGCTTCCATCAATCATATTGTTAGCTATTTAGTAAATTTCCATCACTGAATTGATAATGGTCCTTAGGTACTTTTCTTATAAATGTCTTTTTCTGAGTAGATGTTAAGGTGATGATGCCCTAGTTAGAATCTTTAAAAGTTACATAGATAGCTTAGAAGCAGGGATTTCATGCATCCATTCAGTCACTTAAGAGTATGCTAGCTACTGGACTAGGCCTTGAAAGAGGCAAAGACAAATAATATCACTATTTGTCCTCAATAAATGATATGTGTGATTATAAATCTATGTGAATGATTATAATTAGAATAATGAAATAATTTACTGCTAGAGGACTATGGTTAGTAATAATGTTATCTTTTTATTGCTTAATATTTCCCTGGTATTATCCTAATCTTTTAGATATTATTCTTATCATTATCCTGGTTATAGTTCATAGTTCATTTTTTAAGTAATTTCTAACCTATATGCTAATTTTTGACCTTTTGCAAATGAAATGAAATCTCAACTCTGGATGAATCTGTATTACCACTTTCTCTGTATTTATCTAAGTAGCAAGTAGTGCTGAAGAAAAATTTCAATAGAGCATATTCATGATCATAAATTAACAGTAAAACTAGTCCAAATAGGCCCTGAATAGAGTGCAGATATCCTATTGTATTTCCCTAGTTAACTTCCCTACAGTTTTTTTTTTTGGTACCAGGGATCAAACTTGGGTCCTTGAGCTTGCGAGGCAGATGGCAGAACCACTGAGCTAAATCCCCGGCCCTTTCCCTACTATTTTTAACAATTATTTTCCACTTTTTTCGTTCTCTTCAAACTTACCCTTCTCTTTCACATTTAACAAGAGAGTTTTTGTTATTGTTGTCTTCTGTGTTTTGGTATTTTTGTAATGCTGGGAATCAAATCCAGGGTCTCAGACATCCTGAGCAAGAGCTCTACCATTGAACTACACCCCAGCCCAACAATTGAATTGTCTTCCTAAATTACAGAGAAAACAAAAACCATTGAAAGGGAACTCCAGTATTGTTCCCACTGCCTGCCTTCGTCTGTATTAAAGACTACAGAGTCTCAGCAGCAGAGTTGTTCCTATGCAGAAATGATCTTTTCACCTCAGTTTTGGATTATATCTCATCTTCTCCTTCCTTTTTAAGAATCAAAACAATTGGGTATTCTATTTTCTCTTGTATTTCCCAGATATTCTGTTGTTAGGTTCACAGTTATTGGGATCTTGCTGATATTAGCCCTCATCATGCCTGTCTTTGAGTTACACTCCTGTAATCTAGATTAGTTCCCCTCTGTGTCTGATCAAGATTTCCCTTTGCCCATCTCCTGTGTAGGGTCTCCAGATATCTGTGCCATTTGTCGTCTTTTTTCTTGATTTACTTTTTCCTTTGAAATCCTCCATCCTCCTCCTTGAGAAAGTAAGTGTGAGTGTTAAGTTTTTTGAGATGTTATGTTTCTGAAAATGGTATTCTTCTGTATTTGTACTCAGATGTAAAATTAAAGGTGAAAAACTGTTTTCAGTCAAGTGTTGGAGTCAATACCCCTTTTTTTTGTTTCATTTTGTTTTTTGTTTGTTTGCTATGTAGGTTCTGAAAACCCAGAGCCATCTTGGTTCTTGATTCTTCATATCTGACTTAGTTGTTTTGGATTTTGTTTTTTGATGGGGTACCCTTTTTAGAAGCTTATAGAATATTCTTAGTGTATAATTTGATTTCTTAGATTAATTCTTCCCTTTTGATTTCTCTTTCTGAAACTCCCTGTTATTAAGATATTGAACTTCCTGGTTCTGGTTCTTTTAAGTTTCTTTTCTCCCTTATTTCTCATCTGCATTATTATACTCTAGTTTCTGGGAGACTTATTCAACTTTATAGCTCAGCTTTTTAATTGAATCTTTCTGTTTTTCAAACTTGCTTTAAGGTCCAATTATTCCTTTTTGTTCCCACCCACACCTTCTTTTCTTTTCTTTTGGTACCGGGGATCGAACTCGGTTCCTTGTGCTTGCGCAGCAGGTGACGAAACCACTGAGCTAAATCCTCCAGTCCCCACACCTTCTTTTTTATGCCAGGTTTTTATGGTATGTGACTACATATTACCTTTTTAATTCTGATGCTCTCAATAATAAAATTTATTTTAAAATTTCTTCCTATATAGGCTCTGTCTTAGCTTGTGGCAAGTTTAAATTTCACTATAGGGTGATCTGATGGAGCATATAATAAAGAGAAGCCCCAGTGTCAGTCTTCTAAGTTTGATCTTCTTGAGCTTGTCAGAGCCCTCCTGTGCTCCCTTTGTCACTTCTTCAGACTTATTTTCTTGGGTTGCTTTCTAAGGTAATTTCTTTGATCACCTAGTTACAACTCCCACCCATAAAATGGTTTATCTTATCATAGCATAGTTGTAGTTTTACATGTATCTGTGTGATTACAGGATAAATACCTTGTCACTGACTCACCAGTACATTTCATAAAGGCAGTGGCTGTGTTTGTTTTACTTGAGGCTTTAACCTTGGTACTTAGTAATCATACTTGCATATGATTTGTAATGCATGTTAAATGTTTATATGAATACTGAACAATTGAATGAACAGTCAGTCTTGTTTTAGTCCTTATAAATTAAGTCATTCCCGTTTTAGAAATGAAATTATGATAGAGCTTGCCTTCAGTATGACAGATCTGTCTGACACAAGGGCTAATGTCATTAACTCTTTAAGTAAAACTGGCTCTTTGGACATACTGCTTCCTTTGTTAAAAGAGGGGTAATCTTGCATTATTTTTCTCTTC